GACAGAACATCTCGCTATGGTCTTCGATCCAAGATATATACTGCATCTTGAGGACTATATCCTAACCTTGTAGGATGTCACCTCCAAGCTAATGGGTCTTGCTAAGCTGGCAGCTTCTGGGTGATTGAGTATGTGATAGGTCCAATGGGCCTTGTGTATATCTGACCTCTTTCTCATACAGTGGGTCCCTTGGTGCACAGCAATGTTATGTGGAATTCAGTGACAATAAATCAGGCCCTGTTTCCCTGGATAGTGACACCACGGGCAGGAAAGACAAACCCGTACCAGAAATATGTATTAATCCCTTACAGGATGAGTCACTGCTCTCTCCAGCGTGGAAGGAGTTGGGTATAATTAACTTTCCACCTGTGTTTTGCTGGTCTCCTTGAGGACGACACCGTGTCGAAGGCTTCTGCTGAGTGGCTGCACGTTTCCGGGGCAGGAATTAGGTGGCTGATGATGTTAGTTGACACCTCCTGTGTAAAACCGCTTGTCCATCTGGTCGTTTATCACCTCCCCTGCAGCGGGTGCCTCCAGTGGGCACTGACGTGTGATGCAGAAACCCGCAGTCTTGGCTCCTGTAGTTCTGTCCACAAGGTTCTAGCCAAGATCTCCTTGTTCCCAATTTTCTAATCTTTCTCTTTCCGGACAATCAGCAGAACAAATCACACTGCCCAGGAATCCATGTATTTCCTTACCTCGGGCCACTTCTCTAAGCAAAGTACACGGCCGGATGCACTGCCTGGACTTTCAGAGCCACCCCTGGGGCAGTAGAAGCCCATTTCATCTTGCGTCACCATGCTGTGTGGAGCCACCCCGTGAACCAGATCTAGGTTTCTTCTCTTCCAACAGCTGGTTATAGAGCTCACTCCCCATCTCTGATGAGGCCACGGGTATGAATTGAGGGAGATGCACTGGCTTAACATAGGCCCGAGACATGAGGGTTTGGGCCGCCAATGTGTATAGCTTGTTTGTGCATTATACCTGCTCGTGCTTGATCCTGGACACTCACGGAATGATGCATCGCTGACACCTAATACTGTGGCTTGCTGCTTCAGAGACACCCAGCCTGGTATGGGTAGCTCTGGTGGCAGTCACTTGGTGCTCCATGGTCAGAGGGCCAGTCTCTACACGGCTTTGCTTTCCAGGAGCTGATTTTTGAATGAGGTGTATTTGTTTGCAGCAGATAGCATGGTTCTTCCAACACCTTAGGAGTCTATTGTTGGAGGTGTAAGGTGGCAAATGTGCCTCAGACCATTGGGCCAATGTGACAGGCCCTGAAATCTTTGTAGTTTATCTTTCACCTTCTTCAGGACAGTTGTGGTGTCCAGAACATACGATGTTCTGTGAAATGTCCAGATGTTCAAGTTTACCTTGGGCTTTACTGTTAACAGAGGACAGGAGAATTAACATAGCTCTCGGGAAAGACCACAGATGAACGCTGTCGTCCACCCCATGTGAATGAATGAGATTCTGGTTCTTCTTCCTGATGGAGATTTAAAAAAACCCTAAACAAATTCACCGGATCGATAGCTGCATTCTACACAGCAGAGGCTCTGTTGATCTGTTTTAGGTTAAGGCATCATACCTGGCATAGAAACTATGGATGGGGTGAAACTCAGGTTAAGTCTGAGGTGGTTCACCACCATCCTCCATGATTCATTGCAGATTATGCAAGTTCTGGGAGACACAATCGGCCCCCCAACCAATGCATTCTTTAAGTCTTTGAGGATAGCACTCATTTTTGCCTCTGTCCCCAAGGTGTGGTATAGTTTTTGATTGGTTGGGTCAGGGGGTCAGAGGGTCAGGGGCAATTTCAGGGCCTGGCATTTGGCCTTTCCTACCATGCTAGCTGCTACATATGTCTGAAGGGGCAAAACCCACAAAGGGACCAGCAAGACCACTGAGGCAGGGCCATTGCCTTCCTGCTTTTGCACTTCTATAAATCAGCTTGCTTCTAGGGAAATGAAACTTACCCCTAAAATCCCATTGGTTCCCAAAAACTCATTCCTGATTGGTCCATTTCTAACACCTCATTTGCATATGGCACGAACTTAATTGAAACCTAAAACCCTATTAAAAGCCTGTGTAAACCTACAGATGGGGGCCAGAGCTTGGAGCATTAACTCCTCTGGGCCTGCCGACGTTAATAAACCTGAGCTCTCCAACCCTCCGAGTGCTGCTTGGTCTCTTGATAGGATTCAGGTTTCTGTAACATGTCCATCCTGGTTATGCTTTCAGGAACTGAGGAAATGACCCCTTGGTGGGTCTTTGGACCTATGGGACCCACTACAAGAAAGACTCCGTTCATTCCTTGCAGCCGTGTACTTTACGCTAATGAGGGGTGGAGGAAGAATGTGCTTTGAGTTCCCTAGTACTGAAGTCAGCTCAGATCCTTTGTCCAGCAACACACTAAAGATACACTTTCCCCTTTCCCCAGTGCATTTGTACTCAGACCTAGGATAATTGCTACTGTTCATACCTACTGTGACATTGCAGGGTCTTTCCTCAACTGATGGGCTCTGAGTCTGAGAACTGAATACAACATGTGGCTGCAATTTACCTCCATTTTCTGCTCATTTTCATCCATTCTTGGTCAATATGTTTGTCAGCCACCTATAAATGTTGTTCTTAGATACACCACGGTCTATTGGGAATCACCACATGTCCTTGTAGGTCAGATTTCTCTGGTTACCATTCTGACCTTGCTTTCTCCCTTGTCTCTGATGATTGAACGCTGCTATGTGACCTCTGCTATTCCAGAATCCTTCTGTCCTTAGTGACTCTAGAGAGCCAGCTCCGTTACCAGATCTGTTATCAGCACAGCTTACAGAAGATCGCCACCACTGAGCTTCCTAATGCTGCCTGTGACTCCCCACCCACCCCACCCCCAACTGCTTCCCTGCTCCTTAGTAAAGGAACTTAGATCTTGTATAATAGATCCAACCTAACACACCCACTTCTCTGAGATCAGAAGATCTGAATCCCTTCTGTAACAACCTAACCAGGCTGCTCTCATTATTTCCATATAGCTTTTAAGATGAGAATTTTTTTCAAGATTCTAGGGGCCATTCCAGAAGTTACTAAGACTGACTCTCCGAACCTGACAAAGTGTCAAAACCTTAACCAGCCTTATGTGCTGTGTCCCTTCCCCACCTACCCTTGGTTCAGCTCCCTTGGGATCTCCTCTCAGGCAAGACTTCCCAGTTCTTGTGAATTCACGGTGGTCAGCCCTTCAGCCCCATTGGTGAATAACTCTTTCCTTTGAGCAGGGCCACCATTTCTCCAGTTGGTCCCTGCTGAGATTTGACCCTGTTCTAGTGGCCAGAAGGGGAAGCAGGAGCAGATTTTAAAGAAGGAAGATGTCCTGCAAGAGACTTGTGGCCATGGGGGTCTCTGAATAGATTTTAAGCAAGAGGGTCTACCATCTTTTAGAAAGGCAGTGGACCACTTTTGTAGGCAGAGGGTTCAGGTAAGTCTGGGAGTTTGTTGTTCTGAAGTATCCACTCAGATGCCTCTAACCTGAGTCTCGGGGTCCTGATTCTTTTCTATCAAAGCCTTGATTTTGGCATAGGAAACCTCAGTACTCTCTGGAGTTTCCCTGCTCTTACAATCAGATCCTAGGTCTTACCTTAAGCACTGTCTGCTCTCTGACGAAGAGGCGTGATCTGTTTAAAAGTTGCCGCAGAGGCCTTCTGATCTCCACATCATACCTAGCCAGCTGAACTGAGTCTGTCTTCTCCCGTCAGTGCAGCAGTAACTTTAGCAGCATCCGACTAATTGTACAGACCTTGTAATTGCCACATCCTCTATGTATCTCAGATTCTAGACCTATCAATCACCTAGTGCATCCCCTTTCACCTGACAGCAGCTGGGCACATGCTTTCCCAGCCGTCCTTCCTAAATTAGGGGCAGACTCCAGCCTGCAGGAGCACGCCCCGCCTCACGTGGGATACTCTCAGTCCCCATCACCTCTCATGATGTGGACTCCCCAGCTTCTGCCATTGGAATTCTGCCACTTTGTGCTTCTAACCCTTCTCTTGTCATTGCAATGTTTATCTTGTTTTTGAAGATTACTATATATTTTACAATTTTTTGAATTATATTTTACCTATTATAATGGCATGTGTTTGAAGCAGGGCAGGTTCCAAACAGGAATTCACAACCCAATCCTGAGTGGAGTCCCGGCCAGTCTTTTTTTGTTTTTTTTACATAAGAGAAAAGCACCACATTTTATGCAACATGTACCAGGTCATGAGTTAGGAAGTTTGAGGCCAGTCAGTCTATGCAGATTGACTCCAGACATAGGGCATCTAGGCAGCCTTCCCTCTGTCGACCTAACAGTCATGTCACTTCCAGGCCAGTTGTCCAGACGATCCTTTTTCATGTTGACATTTCTTAATAGTTCCTGTCTCTAAGTATGGAAGTTGTTTTTTGGTTTTTGGTTTTTTAAAAATTTATTTTATTTATTTTTTAATCAGTCTTTTTTTGGGGGGGGGGCAGAGGTAATTAGGTTTTAATTTAATTTTTTTTAATGGAAGTACTGGGGCTTGAGCCCAGGACCTCATGCATCCTAAGCATGTGCTCTACCACTAAGCTATACCCTCCTCCCTTGTTTTTGTTTGCTTGCTTTTGTATGTAAGGTTTTTTAAAAAATATTTTTATTGAAGTATAATCAGTTTATAATCTTGTGTCAATTTCTGGTGTAACAGCACAATACTTCAGTCATATAGGAACATACATACATTCATCTTCATATTCTTCTTCACCATAAATTACTACAAGATATTGAATATAGTTCCCTGTGCTATATGGAATGAACTTGTTGTTTATCTATTTTATATGTATTAGTTAGTATCTGCAAATCTCGAACTCCCAATTTATCCCTTCCTACCTCCTTCCCCACCTCGTAACCATAAGTTGCTTTCTATGTCTGTGAGTCTGTTTCTGTTTTGTAAATAAGTTCGTTTGTCTTTTTTTTTAGATGCTACATATAAGAGATATATATGGTATTTTTCTTTCTCTTTCAGGCTTACTTCACTTAGAATGACATTCTCCAGGTCTATCCATGTTGCTACAAATGGCATTATTTTATTATTTTTTATGGCTGAGTAGTATTCCATTGTATAAATATACCACAGCTTCCTTATCCAGTCATCTGTCTTTGGACATTTAGGCTGTTTCTATGTCTTGGCTATTGTAAATAGTGCTGCTATGAACATTGGGATGCATGTGTCTTTTTGAATTAAGGTTCCTTCTGGATATATGTCCAAGAGTGGGATTGCTGGGTTACATGGTAAGTCTATTCCCAGTCTTTTGAGGAATCTTCATACTGTTTTCCACAATTACTGCATCAAACTGCATTCCCTCCAGCAGTGTAGAAGGGTTCCCTTTTCTCCACAGCCTCTCCAGTGTTGATTATTTATGGACTTTCGAATGATAGCCATTCTAACTGGTGTGAGGAGATACCTCATTGTAGTTTTGATTTGCATTTCTCTGATAATTAGTGCTATTAACCATTTTTTCATGTGCCTATTGGCCATTTATATGTCTTCACTGGAGAATTGCTTGTTTAGGTCTTCTGCCCATTTTTGGATTGGGTTGCTTGCTTTTTTTCTCATTAAGTTGTATGAGCTGTTTATATATTCTGGAGATTAAGCCCTTGTCAGTCTCATCTTTTGAAAATATTTTCTCCCATTCCATAGGTTGTCTTTTTGTTTTATTTATGGTTTCCTTTGCTGTGCAAAAGCTTGCAAGTTTAATTAGGTCCCATTTGTTTACTCTTGCTTTTATTTCTATTGCTTGGGTAGCTTGCCCTAGGAGAACATTGCTGAGATTTATGTAGGATAATGTTTTGCCTGTGTTTCCTTCTAAGAGGTTTATAGTGCCTTGTCTTGTGTTTAAGTTTTTAAGCCATTTTGAATTTATTTTTGTGTATGGTGTGAGGGAGTATTCTAACTTCATTGATTTACATGCAGCTGTCCAGTTTTCCCAACACCATTTGCTGAAGAGACTGTCTTTGTTCCATTGTATGTTCTTGCCCCCTTTGTCAAAGATTAATTGACCAAAAGTTTTTGGCTTTATTTCTGGGCTCTCTATTCTGTTTCATTGATCCATATGTCTGTTTTTGTGCCAATATCATGCTGTTTTGATTACTGTAGCTCTGTAGTATTGTCTCAAGTCTGGGAGAGTTAGTCCTCCTGCTTCATTCTTGTTCTTCAGTAAGGCTTTGGCAATTCTGGGTCTTTTGTGATTCCATATAAATTTTAGGATTATTTGTTCTAATTCTGTGAAAAATGTCCTGGGTAATTTGATAAGGATTACATTAAATCTGTATATTGCTTTGGGTAGTATGGCCATTTTAACAATATTAATTCTTCCAACCCAAGAACATGGGTTCTTTAAGTCATCTTTAATTTCCTTAGTCAATGTTTTGTAGTTCTCTGCATGTAAGTCTTTCACTTCCTTGGTCAGATTTATTCCTAAGTACTTTATTTTTTAGACGCAATTTTAAAAAGGGATTATTTCTTTACTTTCCTTTTCTGATATTTCATTGTTAGTGTAAAGAAATGCCACCGATTTCTGTATGTTAATATTGTATCCTGCTACCTTGCCAAATTCTTTTATCAGCTCTAGTGGTTTTCGTGTGGAGCCTTTAGGATTTTCTATATGTAGTATCATGTAACCCACATATAATGACAATATTACCTCTTCTCTTTTATTTCTTTTTCTTGTCTAATTGCTATGGCTAGGGCTTTCAATACTATATTGAATAGAAGTGGTGAGAGTGGCCATCCTTATCTTGTTTCAGATTTTAGCAGACAGGATTTCAGCTTTTCAATGTTGAGTATTATGCTGGTTGTAGGTTTGTCATAAATAGCTTTTATTATATTGAGATATGTTTGTATACTCCCTTTGCTAAGAGTTTTTATCATAAATGGGTGTTGAATTTTATCGAAGGCTTTTTCTGCATCTATTGACATGATCATGTGATTTTTGTCCTTTCTCTTGTTGATGTGGTGTATAACATTGATTGATTTGGGTATGTTAAACCATCCTTGTGTCCTTGGGGTGAATCCAACTTGACCATGGTGTATGATCTTTTTAATGTGCTGTTGGATTCTGTTTGTTAGTGTTTCGTTGAGGATTTTTGCATCTATGTTCATTGATATTGGCCTATATCTTTCTTTTTTGGTAGTGTCTTTGTCTGGCTTTGATATCAGGGTGATGGTGGCTTCATAGAATGAATTTGGGTATATTCCTTCCTCTTCAATCTTTTGAAAGAGTTTGAGAAGGATCAGTGTGAGCTCTTATTTGTATGTTTGCTAGAATTCCCCAGTGAAGCCATCTGGTCCTGGACATTTTTTTCACAGGGAGTTTTTTTTTTATTGCTGATTCTGTTTCACTTCTAGTGATTGGTCTGTTCAAATGATCTATTTCTTCTTAATTCAGTTTTGATGGACTGTATGTTTCTAGAAACTTGTCCATTGCTTCTAAGTTGTCCACCTTATTGCTATATAGTTGTTCATAGTTTTCTCTTATGATTTTTTGTATTTGTGTTCTATGTAAGTTTTAATCATACCTTTTTGCTATGTGGCTTTGTCGTTATGGGATGGTTATTTTATTTTTAATAATATATTTATTATTATATATTTTTTGAGAGCTTACTATGTGTCAAACACCATGCTATGCATTTTACAAATATTATTTCATGTAATCCTTATCCCATATAATCTTCCAGGTGAAGAAATGGAGACAGAAGGTAAGCCAGGACCTGACAGACACTGAATGAAGAGCAAGGTTAACCCTGGACCCTGAGGCTCCAAGTCTGGTGTTCTTCTGGCTGTTACTGTCCCCTCTTCATTCACTCACCCACTCCCTCCAATATCCAGGGTGTGCTCAGCTCTGTGCCTGGTATTTCAGGTGTGTTGGTGCTGTTTCATTGGCAGGATAGTGGAGACCTGGAATCTGTGAGAATGCCTGGGCAGAGCCTGGGTTCTATAAGTTGGTGGAGGGGTCGGGAGATGACTTTCATCCTATGGACACTTGTGCAAATTAATTTAATGCCTCTTAAGCCCATAGCAGGCTTTGGTGGAGCTCAGTACAGTGTTTGCATTGAATCATAATGAGATCTGTATTTGATTTTCAGCAAATATTGACTGAGGTCCCACAGAGGGCTGTCAGAGAAAAATGAGAGGGGGCTACCTCACTAATAATGGGATTTGTATACATAATTGCTCAAGTGAAGGTTTACCTGGAGCTGTTGCCGATGGAGCACTTGGTACAGTGGTGGGACTTCTTACCCTTGGAGGGGAGATCTTTCCCGGCAATGTTTTGGCAAGTGAGTGCTTGCCAAGCATCTCACTTTGTTACCTGGGAGTGGTGGAGCAGACTGGAAGCATCTCCATTTTGCAGAGAAGGAAACCAAAGCTCAGATGTGATACAACCTTTACCCAAAGTCACAGAGCCAGAGGTGCCAGGCCAGTGTTTGCCAACATGTCACTGGTCTCTTGGTCGATGGCTTTCTGACTGGCCTGGGAAAATAAGCTTAAATAGAAGGGGGTTTTCAACCTGGGGGCCAGCCTGTCTTCAGGGTCGGGACAGAACTCTGGGGGTGGGCCAGGGCCATGTGGGGCTGCCACTAAAAACTTGGAACCTCCAGACTTGTGTCGGGAGTGAGGATGAGGGGGGCTGTCAGGGCTCAGTATGTTGACCAGTGGGCTTCGGGGGAGAACTGGACATGCAATTCCATCTCTGGCTTCTAAAGTAGATGTAGGGCGGAAGGAGGTTTTGAGGTTAACTAAAGTGTGGTCTTTATAATCAAGTAAAGAGAGGAAAGAAGTTCCCTCCACTGGTTGGACACTTTCCCTTTGGGCAGGTAGAAGAGATGGAGCTTTTGCTGATGTCCAGGTACCCATGTCTCAGCAGGTCAGGATAGCCCTGGAGACCCAGAGACCCCAGCTCCACTCACCAGCCAGGTGTAGGAAGGCCTGGGCCGAGACTTGACCACTTCAGGGCCAAGCCTAATAAAGCCGACATGCTGCAGAGACATGGCATAGCCAGGCAGTGGGCTGAGTGAATCTGAAAATCAGGCTGGCCCGGGTATAAACCTACTTCTGCCACTGATGAGCTCTGTGACTTTGGGCAAGTTCCTTAACCTCTCTGAGTCTCAATCTCTTCAGTTATAAAAGGAGCCAATAATAGTCATGGTCTCATGGTGTAACTGCAAAGATAACCAAAATAATAAATGTGAAATTCTAAGCCTCGAATCCAATCCAGTGGCCAATAAACAGCAGTGGTTGGTATTGTTACGTTCACTCAGTGACTCCTCTAAGGTTTTAATATCATGGCAGACTATCACATCTTCCCTCTTGCTTGCCCAAAGGAGGGACCTTGTCTCTCTGTGAATTCTGCCATGTCCTTCCTGAGGACATCTTGGGAGAAAACTGCTCTTAAAACTGTACCCGGGGGAGTCACCATTGGTTTGGCCAGTTTCCCTCCCACGGTCACATAGCAAACCTCTCTGAATAAGCACTTCCCCCTCGGACATGCCGACAGCTTGTATTGTTCGCGATGCCATTTTTTCTTATTGGTTGGCATTATATGA